AGCATGGAACTCAGCATCTGACGCTTGTTGGCGGCTGAGGTGAACTCTCGTTTGGCCGCAGCACGTGCATCCTGACCCCCACGTCCATGCTCGGCAAGGTAGGAGGCAACCCACTTGTCTCTCACAAGCGTTCTCACCTGCCCAAGCTCATCACTCGACGGCGCGGCAGGAAGAGGCTGCTTATATAGCAAACGCCGGCGCTTCATTGAAGCAACTTTGGGCCACGCGCCAACGGCAGAACAGATCACTGGATGTCCAAAACTGTGGAAAGGAATGGAAAGGGAACACCAAACCTGTCAGAACCCTTGCGACTTCCACGTTTCTGGTGGAAAACAGAGCGGAAAGGAACGCAAAGGAACCTTCCAGATGGAAATCCCCCTAGTGGGGAAGGCATTCCTTTTTTCCCGCTGTGGGAGAATAGAATTATTATTCTCCCAGAGCAGAAAAAAAGGAACGCCTCACGGGGCTCACTGTGGCCTTCCAGCTACTAGTGGTCTCCAGTCCTTCGGCCCAGGTGGACGATGGCATGTCTTTTTCTTGGTGGATCCACGCTTGAGCGACCAGAAGAGCGTCCTTTGAGCAATAAAACTGGGGAGACAAAGCGAGCAACATGAGCAGCGCATCCCGAGCAAAATGAAACCAAGGAGGGGGGTAGCGAGCAAAACAGGCATCTCTTTGCATCGTGCGGCGCTTCTACGCTGTGAAGTGTACGTGGTGGGAGCAGGACAATGCCGAAGTGTAAATTGCGTCAACGCCTGCTCTGCAAGCTACAAAGCAAGGAGCGGCTGGACTTTTGCCCTGTTCAGTCACAAATCCGATGGAAGTCAAGCAAGCCTCGGCAACTGCACTGCCTGCAGTTTTCATTCTGAAAACAAAGCTGCACTGCACGCACGCTCCACAGCACGACACAGCAACATTCAGTCTTCAAACTGCCGCTGCACTGCACTGCTGTCTCTACCGCGTTAAAGCAACACTTCAGAGCACGACGCCACTAACATCGCTCTCTATCACGTAGCAGCACTCCAGACCATGACTTGTTCTGAGTCTGTCAATCTCAGGTCGCGACCGATGCGTCAGAAATCAGAAAAGCCTAGGGAACTGCGCTTGATTTACCTGATGCTACACTGTACTGTTGTCTCTAGTCAGTCTTGAAACTGCGGCTGCACTGCACTGCTGTCTCTACCGCGTTATAGCAGCACTTTAGAGCACGACGCCACTAACATCGCTCTCCATCACGTAGCGGCACTCCAAACCATGACTGGGACTGTTCTCAGTGTGTCAATCTCAGGTCGCGACCGATGTGTCAGAAATCAGAAAAACCTAGGGAGCAGCGCTTGATTTACCCGGTGCTACACTGTACTGTTGTCTCTACTCAATCTTCAATTGCCGCTGCACTGCACTGCTGTCTCTACCGCGTTAACAGCACTCCAGAGCGCCACACCACGTAAAACTGGATTTGCAGAGTCTCCAGCTATTCTTTGGAAGCGTGTTCTTGGCAGAAGTCTAAAAATCTCCGCTCAAAACCAGAAAATAACACCTTCAACCCTAAAAGGAGATGTTGGTTGGGAAACCCCAGATGTGTTGAGGAACCCTAAACCCTAAAAGGAGCTGAACTGAAAGAGCAACCCTGCGAAGAGTCTTGAATTGCCGCTGCACTGCTGTCTCTGCCGCGTTAGCAGCACTCCAGAGCACGACACCACGAACACTGCCCTTTACCGCGTTAGCAACTCAAAAGGTTGCAATTATGTCCTAAATCTCAAAAGGTTGATCCGATGCAATATCTTCCCAAATATGACAGCACGACGCGGCTACTTGCAAGAACGGCCGCAACAGCACAGAGAGAGGCTTGGATCTCAGGTCACGACTGATCCGTCGCAAAAAAAATCACACCTCAAGAACGGCGCATCATTGAGCTGATGCTGCACTGCGCTGCTGTCTTCAGTCTTCAGATGCACTGCACTGCGCTGCACTGCACTGCTGTCCCTACCATCGTTTACAGCACTCCAGAGCACATCTCAAAAGCTTGATCCGATGCAATTATGTCCTAAATCTCAAAAGGTTGATCCGATGCAATATCTTCCCAAATATGACAGCACGACGCGGCTACTTGCAAGAACGGCCGCAACAGCACAGAGAGAGGCTTGGATCTCAGGTCACGACTGATCCGTGGCAAAAAAAATCACACCTCAAGAACGGCGCATTATTGAGCTGATGCTGCACTGCGCTGCTGTCTTCAGTCTTCAGATGCACTGCACTGCGCTGCACTGCACTGCTGTCCCTAGCATCGTTTACAGCACTCCAGAGCACATCTCAAAAGCTTGATCCGATGCAATTATGTCCTAAATCTCAAAAGGTTAATCCGATGCAATATCTTCCCAAATATGACAGCACGACGCGGCTACTTGCAAGAACGGCAGCAACAGCACAGAAAGAGGCTTGGATCTCAGGTCACGACTGATCCGTCGCAAAAAAAATCACACCTCAAGAACGGCGCAGTATTTGCTGCACTGCACTACTGTCTTCAGTCGTCAGATGCCGCTGTACTGCACTGCACTGCTGTCTCTACCATCGCTAGCAGTACTCCAGAGCACATCTCAAAAGGTTGATCCGAAGCAATAACTTCCTATTTCTCAAAAGTTTGATCCGATGCAATATCTTCCGAAATCTCAAAAGCTTGATCCGATGCAATATTTTCCTAAATAGGACAGCAGGGCTTGCAAGAACGGCCGCAACAACGCAGAGACAGGCTAGCATCTCAGGTCACGACCGATCCATCGCAGACAAAGCACACCATTGTTGAGCTCATGCTGCCGTGCACTGCTGTCTTCAGTCTTCCCCAAAGCACATTAACAATGTTCTTGCCAAAAGTCTGAACATGTTAGGACAAAGGCATCACGGCTACGACTTGTTACTTGCAAAAGAGCGAATGAAAACTTCACAGGACTACTGCCACAATCTCCGACATCATTTCAGCAAAACAAAGCAGCAATATTTTCAAGGCACGTGTCGCTGCATCTGCTTCTCTTGCAGAAAGCAGCAACAGCACAGGCGTTTAGAGTGCAGAAGAAAAGTTTGGAGTCTGCACAAACTTGTCGACTTCAGAAGAAGTCTGCAGATTATCAAGAGCATCAGCTGCGGGAGTGAGAAACGAGGGAAAAGCTTTCGAAAAAACAGTTTCTAGAAGCTTCCAGCTCCCACTCTCAGAGAACTGGTTGCCTCTTTTCTACAAGAAGCCCTAGCAAGTCTGCCTCGCTCAGCTTTCGTGCCACCGCCCGCGCTTTTTTGAGCTTTTTTGTTTCGGCCTTTACCACCTTGCTCAGCTGCTTGGCTTGTACCTGGAGAGGCACACAAGGCTGTACAAGAAAGGGCCTGAGCCTCCTAAGACACACAATGCTGTGAGCCTTCGCAGCTGCCCTGGCAGCTTTTAGGGCAGCAAGGCGTTCGTTCAGCGTTTCCTGCGTAGATACGAGTGAGCAGCTGCTCCTGTGGATGCTTTTTTGGCATGGCTACCTGGGGCAGTTCCACACGGTCGGGCTCTCGTGGAAGCTCAGGTCCCGCAACCTCGGCCTCGGGCGGGGCGCTTTGTTTCAGCAGGGGTGCTGTGAAACAGTGTTGACCTGCCTCGTTGTTTGCCATGCCTTCAGCACGGTGTTTTAAGGCAGGGTTTGCTGGAGCCAAGCAGAGAACTCAGCAAGCGCCATATTAACTGCTTGATGGCCGGAGCCAAAATCAGAGTGCTTGGCAGCAGCTGATACGCTAGGGGCACAAGTCGTTCCTGTACAGTTGCAATTTTTTGCGGCAGCACGTCTTCTCTGCATGCTTCAAGATGTTTAGGAAAGCACCGGCACCTCTCGCCGGGGACCGCCCACCCAGTCAGAAAAAGTCCGGGTCAAGTCGTGCCTTTTAGGCAACAACTGTGCAAATTCATCTGGAGACAAAGCTTGCTCCAGACTGGGAATTCCCTCCGGGAACAGCGAGGCAAGCTTGCCATGCAACCTTTGCTCGGATGTGGGAAGGCCTGCCTGTGCAAAGGCCTTCCAAAAGGGACGATTCGTCCAGTAGTCTGTACACGCTTTGAAAATTGTTCTAAACCAAGTCTCTAGAGACACGAGCCCATTTTGGCAAATTCGCTGCTGGCGGTTTTCGCGCTCCAACCATTTCTTATATGGTCCAAAACACCATAAATCTAAAGGCTGCAGGTAGGACGTCATGCCTGGGGGCACCGGCAGCATGAATAACCCCTGGAGGCGTCCTTCTCTTATGACGCCCGGAGAAAGATGGCACGAGGCCGCGTCGAAGACAACAATGGCCTGATATTGCGGGAAGCGGATGCGAAAGAGCTGACCCAAGAGAGTTAGCAAGGAGACCATATGTCGTGCTGAATTCCATGAGGAATCCTCACGACAGAGAGTCACGGTGGAGGGAACAACGCTTTGCAATTGTTGCTCCAGGGTTCTGCTGAGACGACGCTTGTTACATATTAAAATCTGTGGCAAATGCGCTTGCACACTGAGGACATTTGAGACGAGAGCGACGTGGGTGATGCACCCACGTGCGTCTTGAGGTCTAATTTGAACCTCTGCGTGGAATTTCCGCTGTATCAGGCCAGGCGCAGCATGGAACGAATAGGCTAAAGCCGTTTCATCTATATTGATGTAGACTGGCTGCTTCGCGCTGGAGCGTTCCAACCAAGCAGCGTGGCGCCAGAAGAGCACGGCCTGCAGGCAACGAGAAATGGCTTACCGAAATTGAACCCAAATTGGGCCCCAAAACTGGAGCCAGAACGAGGCCTCATTTTGGAGCCTCGTTTTGGGGTTGTAAGTGCTTCCACGAGTTAGCCTTAGAAAGCAGCTCCAAAAAGAGGGTCCAAAAATGAGCTCAAAAAGCATCCCCGCATGGAGTCGAAAGCGATGCGGCCCCTCAATCCTCGGGTCCAAATGCTGCCGCTGGTTAGGAGGTATCGAAACGCAGATAAGTGCAGAACGATCCACTGCAAGCAGCTACCATAAGCATGCGGTGTTACGCGTGCAGGAAGTCTCGAGAACCCAGCACCCGGCCTTTGCACAAACATCTTCCACTGGCTTGGCCGCTTTCATCTTGCCCAGCCGGAAGGCAAAACTGCGACGGAAGCGACTGCTCCAGGCTCGTAATCCACGGGCATCGGTAGTTGGTACAGAGGACGCACTTTGTTTGCGATATTCTTCTGCAACTTGCTCTGAACTTGGAGCCACGCCAATCGCATTCATATTGCACACGAAGTTTCTGGTTCTTCGTCTGGCAATCCAACGCTGTGCAGTCTTGTAAATGCCCTGCCGCGAACCAGAAGGATCCTGCAGCGATGCTATGTCTTCCAAGCTTGTTTTGAGGTACAGCTCTTCTACATATCGTTTCTTGTCTTCTGCGTCTGCCTCTTCCATCCTTTCACGCGCAGCCTTCGCGCTGATATACTCGAGAGCCACCGCTGGGTCACCAGTAAGTACATAAATCGCCAATAAGACAAACACTTGACGGGGATTCAAGCCCATGTTGGCTTCCCGCTGCTTCTCGGCTCTTCTCGTCCGTGACAACGAAGAAATCTTTCTTCGAAGACATGCAACCTTCCAAAGGAAATCACACGACAGAAAGTAGCAACAATGCACAACTGCTCCCTTTCTATGTCGTCCTACCTACCAAAAGAAACCTCCTGGCGGATCCGCTGCAGCTCCACTGCTGGATTTGCGGCAGCCATGTTTCAAACGCAAAACCGCCTCTGCTCTGAGAAAACGGATGTCGAGTAGCAGCTAGTGGCTGTGGAAAACTGCATGATGCAGCACAAGCAATCAATCGCATAGCCTGTCTGAACACCGCTGGCTTTTACTCTACAGGCACGACTTGGCCTCCTAGCACTTGCTGTGGGAATCAAGCCCCATAAAGCGGTCCCAAGCCCTGCGCCAGCAAGACACACTGCCCCGCCCCCCGGAGGGGTGGGTTCGACCAACAGGAAACAAACAGGATCAGCGGTCACGAGCACTACACTTCAAAAGCGGCTGCCTCTGACTTTGACGACTCCGCAGCGGTCACGAGCACTACACTTCAAAAGCGGCTGCCTCTGACTTTGACGACCCCGCCATCACCTGGGCACTCTCTCTCCCTCTCGCTCACACTCACGCGCACACTCACTCTCACCCTCACTCTCACCCGCACTCGCACTCGCACTCTGACTCTCACTCTCGCTCTCACTGTCACTTTCAGTAATCTCTCTCTCTCTCTCTCTTTCCCGCCCCTCCCTCCCTCCCTCCCTCGCTCCCTCCCTCCCTCCCTTCCCTCCCTCCCTGTTCCCTCCTTTCCTCCTCCTTCCCTCCTTCCCTCCCTCCCTCCCGCGCTCCCCCAGAAGATACTCACAACCTGAACGTGTCAAACACTTGATACACCATTTTTTTCGAACTCTGCACTGCGGCTGGTGGCTGCGCTAACTCTCAATTTCTAGACAATGTTGCCTTTTTTGCATGGAAAGCACTAGCGAAATACAACACGGCAGATACGGACGGCCTCAACGTGTCAAACACTTCACACACCATTTTTTTCGAACTCTGCACTGCGGCTGGTTGCTGCGCGAACTCTCAATTTCTAGACAATATTGCATTTTTGCACGGAAAGTACTAGCGAAATACAACACGGCAGATGCGGACGGTCTGAATGTGTCAAACACTTCATACACCATTTTTTTCGAACTCTGCACTGTCCCTGGTGGCTGCGCCACTCTCAGTTTCTTGACAATCTTGCCTTTTTTGCATGGAAAGCACTAGCGGACAACGACACGGCAAATACGGACGGACTGAACGTGTCAAACACTTCATAGACCAGTTTTTTCGAACTCTGCCCGTCGCTGGTGGCCCCGCGAACTCTCACTTTCTTGACAAATATTGCATTTTTGCATGGAACATCATGGAAACCACTAGCGAAACACGATACGGCAGATACGGACGGCATCAACGTCTCAACCACTCATTCATTCCCTGACTCCCTCATTCCCTGATTCGCTCCCTCCCTCCCTCCCTCACTCCCTCATTCACTCCCTCCCTCCCTCCCTCACTCCCTCCCTCCCTCCCTCCCTCACTCCCTCCCCTCCCGCACTCCAGCCTTCCACCTCCTCCAACCCTCCAGCCTCCCTCCACCTTCCAGCGCTCCAGTTCCAGCCTTCCACCCCTCAGCCCTCCAGCCTTCCCGCCTTCTCCAGCTCCCAACCCTTTCCAGCCCCTCCCTCTGCTTCTCTGCCCTAAAAAGCTGGAGGGCTGGAGACCTGCAGAGCTGGAAGGCTGGAAGGCTGGAGGCTGGAGGGCTGGAAGCCTTTTTTGGAGGCACTGCCCGCCAAAGTGAGAAAATCTGACGTGGTCTTGGAAGCCTTGCACCGAAGTGACAACAGCAGACGTTGGCACTTTCAACACCTTCTTCGGAAACCCAACGTCATCTTGGGAGGCACTGTCACCCCAAACTGAAAACAGCAGACGTCCTAGCTTGAAACTCTCTGCCTCGGCACTGGCCCCAGAGTGAGAAAATCTGACGTGGTCTTGGAAGCCTTGCACCAAAGTGACAGCAGCAGACGTGGCCCTTTCTTCGCCATAGTCACTCATGCATTAGCAGTCATTAGCAATACAATTTCTGTGTGCAGTAGACGTGCACCGAATTGGAACGCAGCCATGATGCGTCCTCAGGTGACAGCTCATGCAACTCTGCAGTCCAGGTGTTGCTTGTGACGATCATCATCGTGCCATAGACCCAAACCTTGTAAGAGTAGCAATTCGTGTTGGAGCTGGCCAGTTCCAGTGGTTGCACACCACCCTGGAAAAGCTTCTTGTGCCGGAGAACCATGGCACAAGATGCCTCATCAAACACGATCGCGCGATGAACATCATTGTTGAAGTCCCGCAAATTGGGTTCCATGGACGATGCACAATTCAACTCCAGAGTGTGTTCGGGTCCTGCAAGGCTGGAGGCAAAGATCGTCTTGCCGAGCTTCGTGGGTCCGTCCAGCACCAAGAAGCGTCGTCTGAAAGCATCCACCTGGAATTGAGGCAAGAACTCTTGTTCCACTGGTTCCAGATACACCCGAGGACGATGCATGCGGAGCAAGGCTGCCTGTGCTGCAGCCTGGCGTTCCTGCAAGTTGCTCTGCTGGGTCATCTGGACCTGTGATGTGACATTGTCACAATACTGTTTGACGTGCTTTTTGCACTTGAGATAGAGTTCCTTGGCCGATTCCGGAGACAATTTATCCCCTTGCCACATGCTTGTGATCCATTCTGGAGACACTGCATAGGACTTGAACGGTGGTGCATTTGTGGCATGGAGTATGGCACCTGTCTTGAGCGGAGTCAAGTAAAAGTGCCCCTGATCATAGGCTCGTTTGCAAGCCCGTCCGCGGGCGACTGGTGCTGCAAGCGACCTGTACGGCTGCGAGTTGCGAAACTTCAATCCAGGCTCATTTCGAAATGAGATGGTCTTGCCAATGGCATCAAACATAAAATGTATGTGTACCGATGGAATGGGAGGGTTGGCCGCAAGCGAAGCTTCCACATGTAGCTCCATGGCTGCAGTCCAGCGCGTGATAGGTGTGCTTGACACCAGCTGCTGCCTGAAGGCCGAGAACTCGTCCCACAATCCTTGCACATAGGGGTGACACTTGAGGCGACTGCATACCTCAGAAATGCCATTGTGACCCTTCGCAACCAGCACCGCCGACATTGCGGCATCGTCCACACGGCTCCACGACCCTGAATACCGAAACATAGTCCCACTGCCACGGTACGAACTCATGACATCCTCCTCCACCTCATGTGGGCCACGGAGGGGCGTCTCAGATGTCCAAGCCATGATTAGACGGGTGGCTGCTGCATGAAGCCGGGGTGGTACCTGCCCAGACTCCAGCATGGAACTCAGCATCTGACGCTTGTTGGCGGCTGAGGTGAACTCTCGTTTGGCCGCAGCACGTGCATCCTGACCCCCACGTCCATGCTCGGCAAGGTAGGAGGCAACCCACTTGTCTCTCACAAGCGTTCTCACCTGCCCAAGCTCATCACTCGACGGCGCGGCAGGAAGAGGCTGCTTATATAGCAAACGCCGGCGCTTCATTGAAGCAACTTTGGGCCACGCGCCAACGGCAGAACAGATCACTGGATGTCCAAAACTGTGGAAAGGAATGGAAAGGGAACACCAAACCTGTCAGAACCCTTGCGACTTCCACGTTTCTGGTGGAAAACAGAGCGGAAAGGAACGCAAAGGAACCTTCCAGATGGAAATCCCCCTAGTGGGGAAGGCATTCCTTTTTTCCCGCTGTGGGAGAATAGAATTATTATTCTCCCAGAGCAGAAAAAAAGGAACGCCTCACGGGGCTCACTGTGGCCTTCCAGCTACTAGTGGTCTCCAGTCCTTCGGCCCAGGTGGACGATGGCATGTCTTTTTCTTGGTGGATCCACGCTTGAGCGACCAGAAGAGCGTCCTTTGAGCAATAAAACTGGGGAGACAAAGCGAGCAACATGAGCAGCGCATCCCGAGCAAAATGAAACCAAGGAGGGGGGTAGCGAGCAAAACAGGCATCTCTTTGCATCGTGCGGCGCTTCTACGCTGTGAAGTGTACGTGGTGGGAGCAGGACAATGCCGAAGTGTAAATTGCGTCAACGCCTGCTCTGCAAGCTACAAAGCAAGGAGCGGCTGGACTTTTGCCCTGTTCAGTCACAAATCCGATGGAAGTCAAGCAAGCCTCGGCAACTGCACTGCCTGCAGTTTTCATTCTGAAAACAAAGCTGCACTGCACGCACGCTCCACAGCACGACACAGCAACATTCAGTCTTCAAACTGCCGCTGCACTGCACTGCTGTCTCTACCGCGTTAAAGCAACACTTCAGAGCACGACGCCACTAACATCGCTCTCTATCACGTAGCAGCACTCCAGACCATGACTTGTTCTGAGTCTGTCAATCTCAGGTCGCGACCGATGCGTCAGAAATCAGAAAAGCCTAGGGAACTGCGCTTGATTTACCTGATGCTACACTGTACTGTTGTCTCTAGTCAGTCTTGAAACTGCGGCTGCACTGCACTGCTGTCTCTACCGCGTTATAGCAGCACTTTAGAGCACGACGCCACTAACATCGCTCTCCATCACGTAGCGGCACTCCAAACCATGACTGGGACTGTTCTCAGTGTGTCAATCTCAGGTCGCGACCGATGTGTCAGAAATCAGAAAAACCTAGGGAGCAGCGCTTGATTTACCCGGTGCTACACTGTACTGTTGTCTCTACTCAATCTTCAATTGCCGCTGCACTGCACTGCTGTCTCTACCGCGTTAACAGCACTCCAGAGCGCCACACCACGTAAAACTGGATTTGCAGAGTCTCCAGCTATTCTTTGGAAGCGTGTTCTTGGCAGAAGTCTAAAAATCTCCGCTCAAAACCAGAAAATAACACCTTCAACCCTAAAAGGAGATGTTGGTTGGGAAACCCCAGATGTGTTGAGGAACCCTAAACCCTAAAAGGAGCTGAACTGAAAGAGCAACCCTGCGAAGAGTCTTGAATTGCCGCTGCACTGCTGTCTCTGCCGCGTTAGCAGCACTCCAGAGCACGACACCACGAACACTGCCCTTTACCGCGTTAGCAACTCAAAAGGTTGCAATTATGTCCTAAATCTCAAAAGGTTGATCCGATGCAATATCTTCCCAAATATGACAGCACGACGCGGCTACTTGCAAGAACGGCCGCAACAGCACAGAGAGAGGCTTGGATCTCAGGTCACGACTGATCCGTCGCAAAAAAAATCACACCTCAAGAACGGCGCATCATTGAGCTGATGCTGCACTGCGCTGCTGTCTTCAGTCTTCAGATGCACTGCACTGCGCTGCACTGCACTGCTGTCCCTACCATCGTTTACAGCACTCCAGAGCACATCTCAAAAGCTTGATCCGATGCAATTATGTCCTAAATCTCAAAAGGTTGATCCGATGCAATATCTTCCCAAATATGACAGCACGACGCGGCTAGTTGCAAGAACGGCCGCAACAGCACAGAGAGAGGCTTGGATCTCAGGTCACGACTGATCCGTGGCAAAAAAAATCACACCTCAAGAACGGCGCATTATTGAGCTGATGCTGCACTGCGCTGCTGTCTTCAGTCTTCAGATGCACTGCACTGCGCTGCACTGCACTGCTGTCCCTAGCATCGTTTACAGCACTCCAGAGCACATCTCAAAAGCTTGATCCGATGCAATTATGTCCTAAATCTCAAAAGGTTAATCCGATGCAATATCTTCCCAAATATGACAGCACGACGCGGCTACTTGCAAGAACGGCAGCAACAGCACAGAAAGAGGCTTGGATCTCAGGTCACGACTGATCCGTCGCAAAAAAAATCACACCTCAAGAACGGCGCAGTATTTGCTGCACTGCACTACTGTCTTCAGTCGTCAGATGCCGCTGTACTGCACTGCACTGCTGTCTCTACCATCGCTAGCAGTACTCCAGAGCACATCTCAAAAGGTTGATCCGAAGCAATAACTTCCTATTTCTCAAAAGTTTGATCCGATGCAATATCTTCCGAAATCTCAAAAGCTTGATCCGATGCAATATTTTCCTAAATAGGACAGCAGGGCTTGCAAGAACGGCCGCAACAACGCAGAGACAGGCTAGCATCTCAGGTCACGACCGATCCATCGCAGACAAAGCACACCATTGTTGAGCTCATGCTGCCGTGCACTGCTGTCTTCAGTCTTCCCCAAAGCACATTAACAATGTTCTTGCCAAAAGTCTGAACATGTTAGGACAAAGGCATCACGGCTACGACTTGTTACTTGCAAAAGAGCGAATGAAAACTTCACAGGACTACTGCCACAATCTCCGACATCATTTCAGCAAAACAAAGCAGCAATATTTTCAAGGCACGTGTCGCTGCATCTGCTTCTCTTGCAGAAAGCAGCAACAGCACAGGCGTTTAGAGTGCAGAAGAAAAGTTTGGAGTCTGCACAAACTTGTCGACTTCAGAAGAAGTCTGCAGATTATCAAGAGCATCAGCTGCGGGAGTGAGAAACGAGGGAAAAGCTTTCGAAAAAACAGTTTCTAGAAGCTTCCAGCTCCCACTCTCAGAGAACTGGTTGCCTCTTTTCTACAAGAAGCCCTAGCAAGTCTGCCTCGCTCAGCTTTCGTGCCACCGCCCGCGCTTTTTTGAGCTTTTTTGTTTCGGCCTTTACCACCTTGCTCAGCTGCTTGGCTTGTACCTGGAGAGGCACACAAGGCTGTACAAGAAAGGGCCTGAGCCTCCTAAGACACACAATGCTGTGAGCCTTCGCAGCTGCCCTGGCAGCTTTTAGGGCAGCAAGGCGTTCGTTCAGCGTTTCCTGCGTAGATACGAGTGAGCAGCTGCTCCTGTGGATGCTTTTTTGGCATGGCTACCTGGGGCAGTTCCACACGGTCGGGCTCTCGTGGAAGCTCAGGTCCCGCAACCTCGGCCTCGGGCGGGGCGCTTTGTTTCAGCAGGGGTGCTGTGAAACAGTGTTGACCTGCCTCGTTGTTTGCCATGCCTTCAGCACGGTGTTTTAAGGCAGGGTTTGCTGGAGCCAAGCAGAGAACTCAGCAAGCGCCATATTAACTGCTTGATGGCCGGAGCCAAAATCAGAGTGCTTGGCAGCAGCTGATACGCTAGGGGCACAAGTCGTTCCTGTACAGTAATCCGTTTTGGAGCTTCGGAGGTCCCCTAAACCCAACCCCAAACCCCCAAACCCCTAAACTCCAAAGACGCCCTCACTAAACCCGAAACCCAAATCCCTAAACCCCTAAACCCTAACCCCCAAACCCTAGCCCCTAAACACCCCTCCACCCTCAACCTTAACCTCACCCCTAAACCCTAACCCCCAAACCCTGACTGACCCCTAAACCCTTAGCCCTAACCCCCATACCCTTACCCCTAAACCCTTAACCCTAGCCTGAACCATGGGTCCCAAAGTAGTTCCTTTTTGTGACTACCTTATAGGTTTCTAAATGTGAGCCCCAAGAAGGAACTACTTTGGAGCCTTAGGGTAACCCAAATCACAAACCCTAACCCCTTAGCCCTAACCCCTAAACCCTGACCCCTGAAGCCTTCGTTCAAATCACAAACCTTACCTTTGGTTAGTAGGGAATGGAGGAATGGGGGTACAATTATAACTACTGTTTCTACCATTCTTCCATTCCCTACTAACCAAAGGTCTTGGGTAGCCTAAACCCCTAAAGCCCTAATCCCTATAAACCCTAACCCCTAAACCCTTAACCCCTAGACCCTAAACCCTGACCCCTAAACCCTAAACCCCCAAATCACAAACAGGGAGCTTCCGAGGTCTCAGAGACTTCCAAGCGCACCTTCTCCAGGCGCTTCTTCTCTAAAGGTTTCAAGCCAAGGTCCTGGCTTTGTAAGGGTTTTAGGGATGATTCTAGGGGTTTAGGGTAATGGGGGTTTGGGTTTAGGGTTAGGGGTTTAGGGTTTCGGGCTTCTGGGTGCTTTTATGTCTTGGGCTTTTTCTGGTGATTTTTGTAGCCATGGGGTTTAGGGAATAGCACTCTCTACTTTCTATTGAGACCGCTGCCTATGATCCATTATGATGCTCGAATATAGTTACATCCGGGCTTTAAAGGAGAGGGATCATAATCTAACGTTACAGTATGATACCCTAATATGTTACATTATGATACCATTAACATATGTACATCAGGGCTTTTGATTAAAGGGATCCGAGTAGTCACCTGCCCTCATAGCTCGAGCTCCTGGGCAAACTCTTCCCAGCACTCTTTGATCTCCTCCGTTGACACCTCTGCGCGCAGGGTTTCGGGTTTAGTTGTTCAGAGTTTAGGGGTTTAGGGTTTAGGGTTTATAGGGTTTAGGGGTTCAGAGTTTAGGGGTTTAGGGTTTAGGGGTTTAGGGGTTTCGGGTTCAGAGCTCGGGGTTTAGGGACAACTCAGCAAAAGGCGCTCAGCCCTTGGGCTAGTCGCTTGAGCCTGGGATTGGTAAGAGAGGCGCCCTAGTCATTGGAATAAGGTCTTGGGCTTTATTAAGTCTTAAGCAATGCATAAAACACCCGAAGGGGTAGCACAAATACGTATTCAAGCTTCTAACATT